TAAAACAGTTGGTATTGCCCATCACTAGCAGTCTCTCGCTCTTTACAAAACAGATACTTGTTGCCGCTCATTGCCGCTTAGCATTCGTCAAAGAGTAGGATAATTCTCCCTGCCTTATTTTCCTGTAATAGACGCCAATACCACCAAACTGTATTATAGAAGAGCCGGACACGCTGGCTAACTGTATTACTAAAAACACCCTTTCGATAATTGCAGATATCTTTTTGGTCTTGGAACCTCGCTCTCATTGGTAAATTACACAAGGTGATTAACGTAATTATTGAAAGATTGTATTTAATTTGCTAGTAGTAGAACATTTAGCTAGCCTGGGTAACGTGTCTGATGAAACAAAACCATTGGGTAATGGCAATTCTCCGTATTTTCGCATTTTTTTGATCGAGTCCTGGCTCGAGTCCTGACTCGAGTCCTGGCTCGAGTCCTGGCTCGAGTCCTGGCTCGAGTCCTGGCTCGAGTCCTGGCTCGAATCCTGACTCGAGCAATAGTATATCTCATGTTTTTCTATGTTTTTTGTTTGTTTGTTTTTTACGTTGGTAAAACGTTGCGACTTCACGTGATTTTGTCGACTCCAGGGGACGTTGTCACAACGTAGTCAGACAGCGTAAAAAGAACATTCTCACAACGTTTTTAGAACGTTCCGCTTATACGTGAAAAAAACGTTTTGACTTTACGTGCGCTGGACGTGATTTTGTCGACTCCAGTGGACGTTGTCACAACGTAGTAAAACAACGTAAGAAAAAACCTTTTCGCTACCTTGGGCTTGCATCTAGTCCTTAAGTTTGTTTTATTATATAGCAAGTATATTAGTCAATGACATAAACAATGTGATTATTATTAATATTACTTAATGATCTGACATAAGCAATGTGGATTTACTTTTTTATGATACGCTGTACTAATAAAGGAAAGCTCCGCTAAATTTCTTTACTTTTTAATTCATTGAGCGGTTTTCTAATTCCCAAGACACCAGAGTCCATTTTATAGTTTCGTAATTTCCCGATTCCAGTTTATCCTGTCGAATTTCTGTTTCCTTTTTCTGTTCTTTTTTCCCCCGTATATATAATTCCCCGATTCCCCTGTCCTTCCCCGTCCCTCGTTCCCCCATTCCACGTTCCTACATTCCCCGTTCACCCATTCCCCGTCCCCCCATTCCCCGTTCTCCCATTCTCCGTCCCCCCATTCCCCGTTTTAAACATAGCCGGTTTCAGTCTATTTCACGTTTTTCGACAGAGAAGTTTGCTACTCGTATTTTACTCGGATTTTACTCGTATTTTACTCGTATTCTACTCGTATGTATACTCGTATTCCACTCGTATGTACTTGTGTTTTACTCGCGTATGTTACTCATGTTAAGGATTGCGGGTTTTCTCAATCCGGGTTTTAAAGATTCCGGCTTTTCTTATTCCGGGTTTTAAAGTTTCCGGCTTTTCTCGTTCCGTTCCGTTCCTCGATTCCGTTCCGTTCCTCGATTTCCCATTCCTGGTTTTAAAGATAGCCGACCAAAAACAGGTGAGGTCGCGAGGGAATATGAAAGTCCCTTGGGAAAGCCCCTGTGGATTTTGGAAAATCCCTCTGGAAAATCCCTTTGGTTTCCTTGTTTCCACAACGACAGTAAAGGCTGTTATTTCATGATTGACTCGGTTTTCTTTGATGTACCGCGGGCTGTATATAGCATAATGCCCTTGAATACCATACAGCCCTAATTAGTCAAGAAATAAGCGAGAAAACTAGAAAAATACTTGTCGAAATCGAAAAAAAAGAATAAAACTTTGTTAGAAAACCTCTTCAATCATGAAATAAGTCAGTTAATTACCTCGAATGTCGGGCTTTATGCTATATAAAGCCCTCGAACGCTTCGCGTTCTCGGGGCTGTATATAGCATAAAGCCCTCCTTCTCGGTAATTAACTCTTACTTACTGCATGCTACTAGTTCGCTTAAACCGGGTGATACAGTAAAGATCATCCATATCGTCACATAAATTTGATTCAAATAAGAAAATAACTAGCAGATTAATACAGCAAGTGAGTAATATTTTTATTTAATTGCTCTATAATGTTAATACATTACTTAAAGGTTCATTCACAGGCGGCCCAATCTCTGAACGTCCTATATATTTTGAATATTTAATCGTTATAATATTTCAAAATTACAAAATAATTCAAAAAATATTAGCAGTATATGTAAAAATATATGCATGATGGGATATATGGGATGCATTTGTTGTGTTTACGAGTTTAGTTGATGCGATTGCTTTACGTTTTCGTCGTACTTGAACGGTCGTCAGTACTGGCACTGAACGACATGCCCATAGGATATGAATAACTACAAGGCTAGTCACTTATCTGATATACTCTCCGACATCGAGTCCAATATTTCTCCTGAAAATCGTTGCAGAGCAATAAATTTCACATCGCCTAATAGTATGATCGTTCCTCTTTCGAAAGAACATCGTTTGTTCACCATTTGGGCAATTCTCGTGACACACGACGAACTTTGTTTATCCAAAATTCAAAATTCAATTTTCGAAAGAAGCTATGGTTCACCCTGGCCTCCTCGTTTGAAAATACTCCATCAGGCGGGGGGGAGGAGGGGGGGGGAGCTGGAATGGAATGAGGGGGGCTTTCAAAGCAACACGATAAAACACACCATATAAAGAGAAATGATTACTCTATGCATACATGTCCAATACTGTCGACATGATACGGATGGTGAAGCAGCTTCACGATTCGTCAAATTCGTACGGACCGTAAACACGAGTCATGATCCGTATCAACTCGTAAACGCAATACTGTAGGTGGTCTCCAATAGCAGATGCTTGTTGCCCAGATCTACCAACAGTTCGACGGATCGTACCGTTCGTACGGCTCGTAAGACGATTCACGATCCGACAAATCCGTACGGTCCGTATACGAACTGTGAAATGGCTTTACGAAGCGTACGATTCGTGAAAATGATTTACAGATTGTGAACCTATTATAACTTCAAACATTATATATAGTCTATAATTATGTTGTTGCTCCGTTCTTAAGAAACCACGCATATATCTATATAATATGTTGTTGCTCCGTTTTAAAGAAACCACGCAATATATCAATATAAAATTGTTGTTGCTCCGTTCTTAAGAAACCACGCAATATATCATGCAGTATAATATGTTCTTGCTCCGTTCTTTAGAAACCACGCAATATATCAATATATAGGCTAATATATTGTTCCTCCGTTCTTAAAGAAACCGCGCAATTTATCGGTATTATATGTTGTTTCTCCGTTCTTATAAGAAACCACGCAATATATCAATATATATGTTGTTGAAATCTGCTGTGTTGGTGTAATGTACTCAGGTGAATAAGATGCTTGTGTGATGTTACTCTGAGTGTATATCCACACCGGACAGGCTTGAAAAATATGCCTGGCCACGGCGGGATTCGAACCTACGACCTTTGGAATACTAGCCCAATGCTCTTCCAACTGAGCTACGCGGTCAGGACGGTTCGAGTATGCGATATTTCGGAACTGAGTCTAGTTCCTTCGATATCAGTGTAATCTAATAATCATGAATTATTCATGAAATTATTCATTTGAAATTATTCATTATTCATTATTCATTTGAATTATTCATTTGAAATTATTCATTTATTATTCACAAACATATATGTTGTTGCTCCGTTCTTAAGAAACCACGCAAGAAATCAATATAATATGTTGTTACTCCGTTCTTAAGAGACCACGCAATATATCAATATAATATGTTGTTGCTCAGTTCTTAAGAAACCATGCAATACAGGGTGTATCAAAATACCTGCAAACACTATATAATTTGCATAATTCTACTGCTTACTTGCATTTCAATGTCTGTGCTACTTAAGGCTGATTTCCACTGTTGCGTTTCAGTCGTACGCACGTACACGCACGTTTAACTTTGAATCCTTCTATTTTTTAATGATTTTATAAATAAGATAACAAATGCATACTAAAACTTGCGGAACACTAAATTCTGTTGCTTTATTTATTTGGTTATTTCATAAGTAACATTTAAAGATTTAAAGTTTTACGTGTGTATACGTACGTATGAAAGACGAAAACTGTCGTGTCTGAAAGATGTCCGATCTTTTCTAAGTTTTCTTATAACCATGCAGTGGAAGCTTATAAAAGGAGTCTTAGATTATTCTTTACAATACGCTAAGTTAGAGTAACGCGGTGCAGCTAGTGCTATAGTTTTTTGAATAATAACTAGAATACTTTTTGTGAAAACTCTTGTGTCAGAAAGATGTCTCATCTTTTGCTGACAGGTTATCAAGATGTGCCATCTTTTCTTAACCAGTGGAAGCTTAAAAGGAGTCTTATATTATTCTTTACAATGACTTGTCAACAGACAGCATCGTAAATATCATCCTGACATATTTGTACACTTTTACTAATGCATAACAGAAAATTAACTTATTACTTGCTTGGTTTCACACTGCGTTTAAGTAACTGAACCTGGATTGATGACATCTTATAGCGGTAATTAATAATGCGATTAGCCATGCTCGCTTCCTGAAGTTGCAAACTCATGCAGTTTTTGCAGATCCGGTTGTTTTTCAAAACGTGCGGGTCGTCATGGCGAGTAATTAATTAACGCACACATTAATGCTAACGTAATTGGCTTGCGTTTTTTTACACACACCGTATATCAGCTAATATTTATACACAAATATTCGCAATTCCGATGACACAATAGCTTTGTCAGCGCAGCGCTGTCAACATTGCCTTTATCTAACTGCTAAAATCAAGCATCTAATAAGGCATCCCTCAATTCCTTCTATTCATAACCACCCTTAGCCGCGGCTTTAGAAAAAATTATGCCTACAAAAACTTTTCGTGCGTGGAAATTTTTCACCCTTTTTAAAATTTTACAACGCTGTCTGTTCATATAATTACACGCAATTATTAGATAAATGTGCATAAAACCAAGTGTAAACTGGATGTTATATATACTGCACATTTGACAGACGGCCGGTGCCAAATGGAATCATCCAGCTTAACAATGTCATTGTCATTGACATAATATTGTCATTTAATACTTTGGACCGTTTGGTATACGCTTTTTTTCGCCGCCACTATTGTTCTGTCGGCAGTTTTAGCACACAGCCACACGTCAGTTATTCCACAACGGAAAAACCACTTCTAGTCTTCTAATCATCTACAATCTGACAAGAAGAATATATTTTCGATATGGCAAATTGTATACGAACACTCTTAAAAATAGGTGTGCTAAACAACACACCTTGGTGTGTTATTTAACACACAAGGTGTGCTAAAATAGCACACAAGGTGTGTTTTCTTGTCACTGAACACACCAAGGTGTGCTACAAAACACACCAAGGTGTGCTACAAAACACACCAAGGTGTGCTGAGCAGAACACAGTGTACGCAAAAGGTGTGTTCTGTAACACACCTTTATCTAACACACCTTTCGAGTAAGGGTAAGGTGTGCTCAATTAACACACCTTTGAAAGATAACACACCTTTGGAAGATAACACACCTTTTAAAATAGCACACCTTTCTCCAATAACACACCTTTTTCTACTAACACATCTTTTTTTGTGCCCCAAAATAGGGGTAGGGGTAAAACGCGGAAACGGAACGGACCGGCGGAACCGGAATGACGGAAACGGAAAAACGGAAACGGAAAAGAGGGTAAAACGCGGAAAAGGGGGTAAAACGCGGAAAAGGGGGTAAAACGCGGAAAAGGGGGTAAAACGCGGAAAAGGGGGTAAAACGCGGAAAAGAGGATAAAACGCGGAAAAGAGGGTAAAACGCGGAAAAGAGGGTAAAACGCGGAAAAGAGGGTAAAACGCGGAAAAGGGGGTAAAACGCGGAATAGTACGGTGGCCCATAAGTGCAAAACACAAAACAAGAAAACCAAAGCGCATTTCACGATTCTCAAACACATTTACCAGTTTTCTAGACATATATTTACATTTAACAAAACACATTTTAAAAAGTCAACACACATTTGAACATCGCAAAGCACATTTGACAAATCGCAAACCACATTTGACATCGCAAAGCACATTTGACATCGCAAAACACATTTGACATCGCAAAACGCATTTGACATCGCGAAACACATTTGACATTCCAAAACACATTTGACATCGCAAAACACATTTGGAAATGATTAAACGGGCTCGTCGGGCTGTGCAGGCTAAATTCAAAATGGCGTCATTTTGAATGAATATTATCAGTTTTCCACTTCAATTGCAATTTGCATATATTTGATTATTATTACGATGAAATGCAGGAAATGCAATTCAGACGTCTTGGAATCATTTCGCTTTTGTCACCTTTGTGGTACTGTACTTAGTGTGGAATTACAGAAAACGAATGGATCGAATGTTTCAGATTCTACGAGTAGCCAATGTGGAAAATTCACAACATCCACAATTTCAAATACACCACCTGGTCCACCTAGTCAGCCAAAAACTCCTATACTTTCCTTCAATGAATTTCGGAAACGAAAGTCGGACGAAAGGGTACAGCATGCGGCAAAAAAGAAAGAAAAAAATCCCCCAAAGGAAGTTCTAATTGGAAAAGGAATAATGACTTTGACAAAAGGGGAATTAAAACCCATGAAAGGCAAAGCCAAGATGGTCCGAGTTTCTGCAACCATTCGCAAGTTAGAACTTCTTAAGGTGTCATACGAAAAACACTGTGCACACGATCGTAATTTCGATAAAGAAGCAGATTATACACTTGTTTACCCAGATGGCACAGAAATTTTGACCCTTCCAGACCATCCTGACCATATATTTCAATTGGATGAGTATCAAAAAGATGTTGGCAAGGCATTTAATCGCATTACACTGTTCCTTTTGAAACGAAGTGATCAGGAACTTTATAACCAGTTACAGCAAGACAATGGCAGTGACACTGATAGTGACTCAGTTCCTGAAAAGGAAAGCCATATTAGGCAGATGTCTGTGATTGAATCATTTGCTCGTGCTGGTTCAACTTCTATACAAACAAACAGTCCCTCAGTGCAAGTCTCTACCAAAACATCAACATTGATGTCGCATGATTCGATTGTTGTTGACGACCACAACCAAGGTTGCTCAAGCTCACAGGTAGAGATTGATTTACCTTCTGGAAAATCAGGATTTTCTAGGGGCTTTCAAAGCTTGAAAGAAATGTTCCCCACTAAGAATGAATGTGAATTGAGGCAGGCAGTTGATGCAACTGGATCTTTGGAAGGAGTAATTAACTTGCTAGTAGAAGTTCAAGACAGATCAGTGAGTGACTTGTATGGGTCTTTATTGAGTGAAGAATGTGAGGATAACAATGATATTTACCATGATGAAGACGAGCCATTACATGAATCAAAAACATTGTATACAGTGAATGAAAGGCTAACTGAAAAGCTTAAAAACTGGAAGGAACTTAATATGGATAGCTCAGGGAACTTGAGAATGAAAGTTAGCAGGCAGAATGTTTGGGAAGAATCCCTTATCAAGCTAGGAAGAGCAAAAGAGGATGTATGCAAACCTATCAAGGTTCAATTCATCGGAGAACCAGCTGTAGATCAAGGTGGGCCATCACGGGAATATTTTGGGCTGGTAAATTCTGCTGCTCAAGAAAGGTTGATGTCACAGTCTGTTTTTAAACACAATATCTCAGCCTTACAACAAAGGGAGTATTATGCATTTGGACAGCTTACTGCCCTTGGCATATTACAAGGATCTCCAGGCCGTAGATGTTTCTCTAAGACTGTAGTTGATTACATTTTGACAGGAAATATTGAAGACCTCATGCCATCTATTGCTGAAATCCCAAATCATGACATAAAGACCAGTCTTATTGAATTGAATGAACTCTCAAATGCTGATGAATTCAGAGAAAAAGCAAGCTTTGAAAGTGGATTCCGATTTGAAGCAGGCTACACAAAGCCATTTGTGACAATGTCTGATAAAGATGAGTTTCTCAGATGCATTGCACTTCACTACACTGTGCTTGTGCCATTGAGTGAACTTAACCAGTTTGTTGATGGTTTGAAGACTTGCAATATTTTGCAGTTATCCGAGAAGATCCAGATATGTTCAGAAGTCTATTTGAAGTGTCAAACACCAAGCTAACCGCTGAGGATATTGACTCCATTTTTGACCCACAATTCAGCCCTGTCGGGAGTAACAAATTTTCCATAGAACAAAAGATTATTTTCAACTTTAATCAGTATCTTGAAGATGTTGAGAATGGTAAAGTTGTTAGCCAAGTTGAAGAAAGAGAAGTCACACTTAACCTGAATCAAATCCTTGAATTTGCAACTGGTGCACAAGATATACCTGCAGTTGGATTCTCTCCTCGTCCAACCATAGAGTTTTTACACAACTTTGCTGCTCAAAGGAAGATCAGCACAAATGCTTGTGCTAATATTCTCAAATTTCCTGTAGGTGAGTTGTGTGATCAAAAGAAGTTTAATGAGGAATTTACTTTTTGTTTGTTGAACTCACCTGGGTTTCAGTTACTTTGAAATTGCATTGTGTAATCTGCGAACTGTGGAGAGGACTGAACTCATATCAAACTCATATAAATTACTTACTACGTGAGAAAAAGTTTGTGCAATTGTCACGAAAAGTTTGTGCAAGTTTGTTACAAAGTTTATGTATGGCTTAACAAAAACTATTGAGCTTGCTTTTTTGTTCACCAGTCCCAGTACTTTTATGGAAACTTTGGTATGTTGTCTTGATATTGTTTAGAATTGTCAATGGAAGTTGTCTTTCATTTTGTTTGCTTGCTTGTTTCATATTATGTGCATGCGTAAATACTTTTTCATTTGGTCTGTGCAGCAGTCGCTTTATGTAGGTTTTGAGTATGTTTGAGTAAATGGCGGGTTAAAAAAAATGGGCGAAGAAAAAAGGATGAGAAAAAATGGGCGAAGTTTGCTTTTCCTTTGCCTAGTTTTTCTTTGCCAGTTTTTCTAACCTGCCATTTATTCATAAATCTTTAAAACCTTTAAAATCATAAATCTTTAAAACCTATGCAGGCTAGTATTCATGCAACTGAAGGTGTATATAACTTACTAGTTTCCTCTGTCAAGAGAGTAGGGAATTGGGAGAAAGTAATGTGAAAAATGAGGAGACGTTGAAAAGGATGGGGAAGGAAAAGGGCAACAACAATACAACACTGCACCACTTGATAGTTATAGATTTTGTTTAACTTAAACAATGGTTGAAAAAAAATACAATCCATAACTTGGTCAAAAGGCATTACTGCTTGGCCGTTCTAAAATGGGATAGAAGTAGTAACAAATGAATATAGTAACTTTCTTGATCACCACATTATGTACACCTACAAATGCACATTAATTAAGCATGCATCTCATCTGAATGATGTATAGTACTTGTATCTTATGATGAAATTATATATACATATAAGAGTTATTTGTATATTTCTGATGATTTTGATATATTTTAAGGGATGGATTTAACATAAACTTTAAAATATCTTTTAAATTTATGGACCAGAACTAATTCACATATCTGTTTGAGCTCATGAATGTTTGCATACTGAGAAATAGGCGTGCAAAGCAATGTATGCCTATTTCTGAGGTATGAAATCCCCAAATAGGCATAAAATGACAAGCATAGTGACTGCATATTCTAATTGCCTTGCTGACACACTGCGTGTAATTCCAAGACTACATCATACTGTAAATCCTTTATTAAACCCCATTTTTGCTTCTCCACTTCAGCTAAATCAATAAGACCTAGACTGCAAGCGGTTCCTCCGGGTTTAGCTTCCCGGACGTGCGAGGGGAAAGGAGGGACTGGTGACTGCTTGCGATCTGATAAGACCTCTCTCTAAATATAGCATTTCTCTAATAAGCCCCTCCCCTTAAATGTGCCTGAACTAAACAAGCTCCGCCAGGGTTTTAATAAAGGTTTTACATTATGTGTGTGTTTATGTTTGAGCAACTGTTGATAGTCTATGGTATAGTCCTAATGCATCCCTCCACGAACTTGGCTCAGTAATACCAAGCATTTCATTGACATAACCAAAGTACTCCTGGTAAATGAGCGATTCATTTGAATCATCAGATGGATTCAGCTCACGATTAATTTCTTCTAAATCCTCGGGGTTGTATTGGTGTTTTGTAGTCAATAGTGCCAACACTCTCTGGTAAATAATATAGAGTATTGGGGATTCCTGAAGCGGTATGGTGTCGAGACTTTCGGATATAATGATTATTCCATTCCTCTCTTACTTCATCCAGTTCTTTCTGTATGATCTTATTGAAACAAAACCAAATGCACTCCATATGCATTTTATTGCATCTATCAGGTCTTTGAAAAAGTTAATCCACCATGAAGTCCATGATCGCCTTAGGTAGGCCCACCAAGCTTCAATGCGTTGGTTGCTGTGTGAGGAACCAAAACGGTGAGCTTTTAAGCCAGCAAATGAATCAGTACCATTTCTTATGACGAAGCACTGACCTGAGGACATAATTCCATTTTCAGTACCTCGATCAGTTCGAAGGATTGATGGGCATCCTCCAACTTCAATAACAGCATCTCTAAATAACTTTCCAATTACTTTAGGATCATTATTACTCATTTCAAGTTTTAACCATATCACACGCCGACTAAAGCCATCGATGCAGCCATGTATAGGTAGTCCATAAGGCTTCAATTTGTCATATCCGTCCGCGTGCCAACAGTTATTTGGCCCTGGGTTGATATAATTTCGTCTTTTCAGCCGGTGGGCTTGTCTAAGCCTGGTTCCTTCTGGGTCCATCTCTCTCAACAGGATTTCTACAGCAGATCTTGGCACATTTAATTTATTCCATACTTTAAATGTAGTTTTCGCCACATTGCTCGGTAGCCAAGTAGGTTTCCAGCTCCTTCGAGTTTTATGCTAATGTGCTGTCGAAGAACAGCTTCATTTATGTCACAATTTCGTCGGGTTAAACTATATTGTTTCAAACGATTCAAAAGAGTCCGTTTTGACATTTTTATGTCGTGATATTTATCCAGAAAATCTAATATCGTGTTATACTCATACCTTCTGAAAAAGTAATATCTAATTGCTTCCTCTTCATCCATATATTACAGTAAAAAACACCTACGCTACACCTCAATACAGTACCGAATATAAACAGTATGTTTACTACAGTGTTTTCCCGCTTCACCTGACACCCTCAACAGGCCACAAATTAAAGGGGCCGAGAATTTTGGTTGCGATGTCAAATGTGTTTTGCGATGTCAAATGTGCTTTGCGATGTCAAATGTGTTTTGCGATGTCAAATGTGTTTCGCGATCTGTCAAATGTGCTTTGCGATGTTCAAATGTGTGTTGACTTTTTAAAATGTGTTTTGTTAAATGTAAATATATGTCTAGAAAACTGGTAAATGTGTTTGAGAATCATGAAATGCGCTTTGGTTTTGTTGTTTTGTGTTTTGCACTTATGGGCCACCGTAGAAAAGAGGGTACGTGCACGACTCTTTTATTCAGGATTCAAACCATGAATTTCGTTCGTTTTAGACTTTAGACACTTACACAATAGATAGTTAACATCGGCGAGAACTTTGAAGTGTCGTAAAGAGAAGAAACGCTTCAAGTATCATTTAAACTAATCCTTTCGTTAACTGTGACTGTCAAAAGTATAGTGATAAATGAAATAACATTACCCTGTCAGTTATATGACACCATAACTTGTATTTAATTAAGTCGAGTCAGCGTGTTCCCAAACGACTCGTAAGAGTTATTTGAAAGCAAATTTTTCATAATATTTACCATTTTACCTTTCAAAACATAACATTTTGTCACTAAATACGTCACTTTTTGCGCGTGTAAACATACAATTTTTTAACGGCTTTTCAAATGAGATTTGCGCGCTGCGGGCAAGTTTTCTTTGCACAAACAACATGTTTCCGGGTTATTTAAATTAAATATCTGACAATTTGATTAATTCGGTCGTTGAAATGGTGTACACAGTTCCTTAGATTTGTGAAACATGTTGTCCAAACTGTAAATTTCAAGGAGTTGAAACAACTCTAAAATAGCTATTCTGTCATCGTTTTTAGTGATACAATATAACACCGCAAGTGTTTTTCTCAAATTATCCGGTTCCGTTGGCGTCAAGTCGGCATTTCTTAAATTAAATAACAGACTTGAGAGAATTATAACTGACCCGCTATACTTATCCAGTAATGGCGAAGTGAATCTTTTTTCTCGCGAAACAAATACGGCCGCTACTACCCACAAGTATTTAAGTCACAGGTTTGCTTGGGCGAGATGACGCCACTTTGATCACAGTAACTTTGATGGTGTAAACCGGCCTTTACATAGTAGGTGTATGATTATTAGTCGGTGGGCATATGATGTAAGACTTCATTGGGTAAACAGCGTTTTGATGTACAAAATTCTTAATGAGCAGTCCGCTCCAAGTCTTAGAGAAAAAAATATAAAAATTAAAGATCTTAATAGAGAATATAATCTTCCAACTAATGATACTGATTTAGCACTCCAAAACCTAAAACAAACTATCTTAAACGAAGTTTTAAGTATAGTTTGGTTTCAAAGTTTGTTTTCCGTGTTTTACCCTCTTTTCCGCGTTTTACCCCCTTTTCCGCGTTTTACCCCCTTTTCCGCGTTTTACCCTCTTTTCCGCGTTTTACCCTCTTTTCCGCGTTTTACCCTCTTTTCCGTTTCCGTTTTTCCGTTTCCGTCATTCCGGTTCCGCCGGTCCGTTCCGTTCCGTTTCCGCGTTTTACCCCTACCCCCCAAAATAGCACACCTTGTTTCAATAACACACCTTAAAATAACACACCTTTGACGTTGTTAAATTATGCACATCTTTGGTGAAAGGTGTGCTTTTGTAACACACCTTCAAAAAAGATTTGCTAATTAAGCACGCCTTTTCAACTTACACATTTTTCATAAAGGCACAGAAATATCCCATGCAAGGATCTCTAACCTATATTCCAATCTACAGGATTTATTCATTCAAATACTGTAGAATTAGGGCGGTATTTGCTGTACAAATTCGTATAGTGAAAGAGCTGCAATTTCGTGTAAAATCATCACAAGCTTTAGCTGCTTGATGCGCTTTTTCATTCGTATGTTGCCAAGTCAGGTTGCTGTATATTACCAGTATATCGTGTTCTTATTGTTGAATCGCAAACGCGGCTATCGAATGTAGCCAGAAATTGTCAGCGAGTTTTTCTCGTCAAATTAATCTATATCCTTTATTTGCAGCTTATTTAATCTGTAATTTGAACTTGTGGAATGTTCTGTTGCGGAATATAATTTGCGCCAAGTGGAAGTTCCAGAATTGCAACTATTTTTCAACCAATTAACATGCTTAGAATATATCACGTGTCGAAGTAATTCGATCTGTTGATAACAAGCGCTAAGTTCGATGTTTTGAGAGCAAATATTCAAAGAGGAAAGGATTTTTATTCAAATTTTCTACTTATAAAGTTCCAAAGACCTAATAAAATACATGGAATTTGTTTTCAAAGGTATGTCTATTGTGTATGTACTCATTTGTATGCGGATAGTTACTTGATATACTGTATAGTTATGTTTTTAAATCGAAGGCTTGTATTTGTATTAATACTTTTTTACCGAAGGCATCTAAACGTTCAGTTGTAAATTCAACCTCGTTCCCAGGCTCTTTGCTCTTGTGAAGCAAAGACCCTGGTCGGGGCTGGTCACGTGACCCCGCAGATTCTGCGTGGTAAATTGAATTGATCTCAGGGAGGGGTGGTAGTAGCCTGCGGTGCAGACGCTTCGTATTTCATAATGAAAGGGTTTAAGCGTCTGCGTAATGGAGGGATCAAGCTTGTTCAGTCACGTGCATGTTATGCATAATTAAAATATTAATTAGCGCAAATATTTTTAATAGCTATAATTATTCATGGCGTCTTTATCGTGCGTTTTGTGTTTCTCGTTGTTAACGAAAGCTTGTGATAGAAATTTAGTCGAAAATAAAGGGGAATTTTCAGTTAAAAGCGAGATTCAAGACCTTTGTTTTGTTGTTCACCTCACTTCGCAGCATATCTGTCGTGCGTGCTTCAGGACTCTGCAGCAAAGACGAAATCACAAGAATAAGGTTGACGATTTGGAGAACAATCTTCTGCGTAAATACCGCGAAAAGGCTGGAGAAAGGGGACTCGCGATTAAAACAAAATCAACTGCGAAACGTTCGTTGTCGTTTGATAAAAGCGACGATCCGTCGACCCCGTTTAATGAACGTATCGATTGCGAACGAGAAGTCACAGCTGAATGTTTTAAACCAACGTCAAGTTCGACACCGTGCTCTTCACCGTGCTCAAAAGTCTCAAAACCGCCGCAACATGACGACGAAAATACTTCAACAGCCCAAGATACCGTTGTTTCGGTCACCGTTCAGTGGAAAAGCAGAACAAGTTCTCGGACTTTGCCGTGTGATCTTCAATCGTTGGGTAAAATGCTGTGCAGAGGAACCTACATGCAAGTTGCCCATGCCGCATGGCGTTGTGAAAAGGTTAGAGAACAGATTATCCTCTTATTTTTGAAGGAAATCGATCGAGAGTGCGCGGCTATGTGTTCAAAGAAGAATCCCAGCATTTTGCGCAAAACTAGCAAAGAGGACATTGTTAACTTTTCGTTAACAAAACTTGACAGTGAGTTAAAGGAGAGGACACCTCTGCTTAGAAGTGTTTTAAGAGCAGCTTCTATTCGCAAGAGCAACCTGGAGAGAAGCAACCTATATTGGATGCCAGCTGTGTGTATGGCATCGTCCATTTGCCTGAAGAATAGATCACCATACATGACTGTGGTTCAATTGCTGAATTCACTTTTTATTCAGCACTCAGGATTAATGGTATGTATATTATTTGTTTATGTTATGCAATGCTACATATAAACACCCCTCCTCCAACTCTCATGGCTTTAATTAAATATTATATGTAGTGAATTGGGTGAGAACTACTTTCTATTAGCTATGCTCAAATGTATTCTATACAGGATTGAGCAAATTATTTGAAATTGCAAATACTTGCTACCAAGCAGGAAGTCAACATATACAGTGAACAATTAACTTTCTCTCAATAGAAGTTGACTCCCAATGGAATCTTTGATGTCATATGAAACACAATAATAGAATATTTATAAAATATGGTAAATATGATCATAGCTTGTAGAAACAATAATATATATTATATTATATTATAGTTATAATTTTTTCAATTCCAGGCTATCTTGTGTCGATTAAGGGTTCTACGACTTGTGGTGTCCCATCCATTTCTCTATAAGAAGTTAGACCAATTTGGTCATGACCACAATGCAAAGATCGCGAAGAAGGTCAGAAATGAAAGTGCAAGATTGCTATCAATTTGGAGCGATGATGCAAGTAATGAGGATGAGGTTGTCAGTCATGAAGCAGACCAAGGACGAAAGATTGTTTTTGATAACTTTGATTTCAATCAGAAAGTTCATCATATGTCAGAATCCCACCAAAACATTGATAATCATTGGGTAGCACATATGTGCACTGAGAACAGGGTTTCAGGAAATCACCTCAGCATGGAGGAAAGATCTAAGAAGACTATTTTGGACATGGATAATGGCAAATGCATTCCAGACAGTACAGAACACATTGCCCAGAGAGAAAACTATGCCAGTTTAGTGTCTCGTATTGTGGTAGACAACATCAATTGCCTTGAGTTCCTCAAAGAGCATGCTGTTCGTCACATTAAGCATAGATATTCAAGAGAAATGGCCAAGCCAACTGAAACTGTAAGTTACAAATTAACTTATCTTGGCTTTCAGAGTATGCATTCAGTTGTGAATAATGTGCGGTGTTGCTCATGCAGTGGTATGCATTCACACATATTGCAGCATGCAATATCTAATGTACACATTGAATGCATGCAAATTCAGTCACTCACACACCTTGGATTATGTGATGCATATCTTTACACTGCATTCATCTCGGAGTATGTGTATGCAAAGAGAGCAGAAATATGCTACAAGCTGCATGCATGCAAATTATGGTATTATATTACAAATTGTTATGTACAATATATTTTAAATATTTTATATTTTTTTCAGATGTTTCTAGGCATGCTTTTTGAAAATGAGAATACAAATGAAGGGATGCAATCTGTTTTGAATGAAATACACTCATATGTACCTCATGCTGAAGTGGAGAAACATATAAAGGTTAATGTTGATAAACAAGGTGCAATTGTTCCTGAAATTGTCATAGTAAAGGAAAAGAGGTTTTCTGGACAAGGCGTAGTTGGTGATCAATTATCGGTGGAGAGGGGTGTCAATTCTCTGATGCAAATTGCAAATGGTCTCACTCCAGATGACAGAAAAGAAGGCTTGCACTTTGAGGTTGCAGATTTTCATTCTCAGATGAAATTTTTACAGGTAAAAAAATGTTGTTATCACCCACATTTCAACTCTATAGTATAAGGAAATATTTCAGACGTGATCTATGCACTCAAATCCCAACTCTAATCCATACATGATATACTAATACTGACTATAAAATCATGAAAATGATCTCTAAATGTTAGAGATCTCTCCACCCCACAACCCTGATATGTATACTTATTTAGCAAAACTTTACAAGTCTTCTTTGAACTTTTTGGGAGTGCACAGATCATGTCTAAAATACTTTACTGCAGAATTGTTATTATTTTGCAAATTTGTTTTCACATTTACACTTTTTACAGGTTGCCTTTGACCACTTTTACAACCCCAGTGCACCCTCAGATAAGTGTACATTGTATGCTGACAGAAACCACATCAATCGTAGAAATGTTTCCACTGAAGTTGATAAAAACTTTTCTGCATGCAAGCAATTTTTCAAAATGGAAATCGAAGCAAGAGTAATTGCTGCTGCACTTGATTTCATGAAGATTACCTCCTTAGATGACACTCCCCCCGAAGACATTTTGCCACCATCCTTAGTTCATGCAACAGCCAAGGCACAACAGAAGTTCCTCAAAGATCTGGCATTTAAGGTTGTGGACACCTATATTGTTAATGAGACAAACATAAATAGCCTAATGGAAAAGCTGCAGAAAGAGCGAAGAGTTGATAGTAGTGTGCTGGAAAATGGTCGTTTTGGATGTAGGTTTCCTGGGTGCACAAAGTCTTTTGCCTTTGATGGAAAAAGACGTATCACACATGAGAAAACCCATGGGTTGCACTCACAACACACAGCTTCACTTATCCCATCTCCTGTTGCTAAGGTAAAGGATGATGTTCGCAATTACCAGCTTGCCTTGCTTGAGTATGGTATGCTGTTCCTAAATTTTTCAGATGCCATTTCAGAAGCAGATGGGCAACGTATACTGAGGTGCTGGAAATTCTTTTTGATGTTTTTAAAAGTTGATGGAGCACACAGCCGTAAGTACGCTTTGGAAGGGCTGCATCTCATTTCTCAAGTTTACGCTATTTTATCACCAAGGGATGCACATAGGCTTATTTGGAATAGGTCTGTTAAAGCAAAGTATGGCATGGGTGGGAACATACCTCTTGACCTGGCATTAGAACATTATAACAGAGTACTAAAAGAGGTAATCAAGAAAATGGGTCCTAATGCATCTAATAAAACTGCAATTACCCGATTTTGCAAGAGCATATCTATTAACAAACAGCTTATGGACAATTTTGATCTGGATTGCAAGGTTCTTAAGCAATCAGGTTTGCATATTCAGAAGAAATGTGTTGGTGATTTACATAATATTGTTAAGGAATTGGTTGTCAATAATGCTTTTAAATGCTCTCCAGGGAGATCATATAAATATTTTGTTGACTGTTCACCAAGTATTTTAAGCAGTTTTGACCTCCATGGAATGTTCAAATGGATCGAGGAACACAAAAGAAACATTTACTTGAACAAAACTGCTAGATAATTTACAGTATATATTATTTATAATAGTATATATAAACAGTACTGTTCATAATTATGAATCTTAGATCAGGTTTTGTTATAACATGAAATTTTTGCAGCTATTAGGGACTGTTTGTTAATTATATGGCTTAGGCTTAAGAATACTTGTAGTTCTGGTTCCCGACCAACCATATTCTACCAACCGTATTATTTTTTGAATGTGATTGACCATGCGACCCTATTTTCTGGGGGGGGGGTTGCGGGCCCCTGCCAAAATGGCGTCTGTTGTCACGCTAATTATTGACTGACCCTAATTTTTTTGCAATTTGAAAATGGAACCACAACACATTTTTAAGCCGGAGGGGGGAGGGGGGTCTGGTGTTTATTTTTTAACCCATTAAGCGCCAGCGCTCTCCCCTTGAGAAGTAAAATCGTCTGGCGTTAGACAGAGTAAAATACTCTGGCGTTAGACAGAGTAAAATACTAAAGTAGGTTGCATAAAGGTGCAATGCAACTCAATGGGTTAACTAGACACATGGGCAGATAGGCCAGTTAACCCATTAAGTGGCCAGTTAACCCATTAAGTGCCAGTGCTCTCCCCTTGATGAGTAAAATCGTCTGGCGTTAGACAGAGTAAAATACTCTGGCGTTAGACAGAGTAAAATACTAAAGTAGGGTGCATCAGGGTGCAATGCAACTCAATGGTTAAGGAATTAATTGACAAATGCCCCCCTAAAATTTGAAGTTTTAAAAATTGTAACCCCCCGGCCATAATTAATTAACAGTCCCTAAGTCACCAGTTTTGAAATGTGGTCTTATGCCCCTCATTGTGTTGATTATATAATTTGTATTATTACTGTAGTAGTTTTTTACCTAGAGTTCCATATCCTTAGTATTGATAACTGAGGTTACTTCTTTGGCAATATTTCTTATATCACCACTTGTGTCCAATGTGAGGCTTGCTATTGACTTGTCAAGCTCATCCATTTCATCACTGACTTGTAATAAACTGCTATCTTGAAATAGCAGTACATCCGCTGATGAGTCATCTCGGATATCCAACCAATCTAGATCTAAAGTATCATCTAGATCCATTTTATCCAAATCAATACTAGTTTCATTAATGTCAATATCACCAAACATTTGTGAAAAAATATTTAAAATACCACATGCATGCTCACTTCGCCAAATTTCAACACAGTTCATAATGTCATGTATAGAAAACAGTTTACTTGCATTCTTGATGACCTGGGCAATCTGAAGAGAACCAAATTCTACAAAGACATTTGGATACAACACTTGCTTTGGGGCTTCTCTTTGCAAAGCATTTTGATACTGGTACAGATTTGATTCCAGTGTTTTTTTCTGTTCATTTGTAACAGGTCTATGCTTATCGTACTGGTATAAATTCTCATGACTGGAGAAATCTAGCAACATATTAATGGAGCAATCACCCTTTAAACCAGAGCACAAGCAGGTCTGAGCACAAACATTGCAGCACTGACATCCTTCAACAACAATTTCATGATCACCAGGGAAGTGCTTTAAAATCGCTCTTCGAAGGCACTTTTGTTCGCTGATCAATTCCTTCATGTCATCAGAGCAACGAGATGCCAAAATGCCATTGTAGAGTAGAACACACAAACTCTGTCCACCATCCCTGCCAACACGTCCACATTCTTGCATATAGCATTCAGTTGTTCGAGATGGCCCAAAATGAATCACCTTGCGAGCACATTTCAAATCTATTCCCATACCAAATGCAATGGTGCAAATCAGCACTCTTACATGACCATCTGGTAGTGACAAAGATTTTAAAATATGTTGCTTTGATGACTCAGGTGTTCCAGCATGGTACATTTCCACAATGCAGTCTCTTGGTAATAGAGTTTCACCAGCATACATGTCTTTGCCAAGTGCCAACTTGAATGTTCTCCATATGATGGCAGCTTGCTTTCTTGTTTGACAGTAAATAAGAGTCTTTGCACATTTGTCTTTTTTATCCTTCACATCCAATATAACATCATGAAAGACATCGCAAAGTTCCATGTCATTTTCAACATACTGAGTAACATAAGCAATGTTTGGTCGCTCTGGACTTTTTTCAATGCTAAATGTGTTTTCCATTTTGAGATCCAAAACCTCAAAGATCTTGCTCTTGGTAGCTTTGGTTGCTGTGGCAGTACAAACAATCAGATTAATATCTGTGAACATGGATCTGAGCTTTCCAAGATTGCCATACCAAGTTCTGAAAGCGCCCTTTGCTCCTGCCAATCCCCTACAAACACAAATTGATAAAAATTAGAAATATACAAATTGACTTTACAGAAAGATTTATCAATATTAATATAAAGAAATATGTATCTTACCATTGACTGATGCAGTGAGCTTCATCAATAGCAATTCCAACACAATTTTCCACAAAGCTTTCCGATTTTAAAATTTTTTCCCATCTTTTTGAGGCCAACATGGATTCAGGCGACGTAAAAACGAGCGAATATATGCCATCCTCAATATCATTTAAAACAGCCTCATCTTGTCCTTGAAATACAGCAGCTGCGCTGATTCCTAACTCCATCATTTTGCTAACTTGGTCGAGCATTAATGAAGTCAGAGGACATACTACAATCACGGTGCTAGTGCCAATAACTTGATTAAGTAGGATATCGGTAAATAAAGGTATGGATTGGAACACGATGGACTTTCCATACCCAGTACTGGCACAAAAGAAAACGTTATTTCCTTTGAAGAAAGCCTTAATAGCGTTGAGTTGATCTTCGAAAAGATTTTCCACTTGAAAAAAATAACAAACTTGTCGTAAAGCATCCTGAAAACATTGTCCTTCTAACTTCGCCTCCTCGACAAACGCCATGTTTTAATACATGTATTATGTCTTGCTCGCGCTAATTTGGGATAATTACATTATATTGCATAAATTAACAACTAACCAATCACATTCGATTCCCACTATTTTGGGAACATGCACGTGACTGAACAAGCTTGATCCCTCCATTACGCAGACGCTTAAACCCTTTCATTATGAAATACGAAGCGTCTGCACCGCAGGCTAGGGTGGTAGAGGAGTCTGTTTGCTACGTTTGGAAAATTGCAATTTTATGTGTTATAGTTTCGGGTGATAAAAATGTAATTTGCAACAAGAAATCGTGAAAAGAATAGTTTTAAATTCGTATTCATCATGACACAACTTCCTGCTATACTGAATGTCATCAATAATAAGTGTTGCCGGTATATTTCAAGCGACAAGCTGGATCATATTTCACTTCCAAGGACTCCACACGCGCCTGGCTTGCGAAGTTGAGCACGCATCGCCGTATAAACATATATGTCTTTCCAATTCTATACCGACTGACGATCAAACGATACTAAATGAACGATATGGTTGTTTATTGTTGAAGTGTATCCTGTCCGATATTCAACAAAGCCAAAGGATTTATTTTATAACGGAAGATTTCCCAAACATCGCTAACTGTGTGTGTGTAAACAATAGTGCTATCTTGCTGTGAAAGCACAGGATTAAAACCGTTTATATGGACTGTAAAATTCCTTTCATTTACATTGCTGAAACTCAACGATCAAGAATGATTATGTCGAAGACTCGAAGTATAGCTATCTGTCATCAGACGAACACCAAGACCACTGTGCGTTTCCGTGCGTGCGGTACATATAACTTGAATATTTAGGACGATATATGCACCAGATTGCACCAGACACTGGTATTGTACTTCATAGTAAATTATTTCATATTTTGTGTATTACAGTAATTTACAGCAGGTACATTATAAACCATATAAAGACCTTTCATTCCCATTGCCCATTCAGTGCTTTATATTTGAAGAATAACCCGACAGCTTCTTTCGACTTGTATTAATGCTGCTGTGAGTCATCAATATTTAAATCAACTTTAAATAATCTTTATCGTATACTCTATAAATGACATTTTAGCAGTTTCACCAAACCATACTAGAGGCAAACAACCTATCTATCAATGGAAACTTTAAAAGGCTTATTAAAACTCATTAATTAAGTAATTCTATGAGTTGGACTTCGTGCGCATATATACAGTTTATGAATTATGTATATATATCCCTGATAAAACGTAGGGACACTTTATACCAGATATAATAAAAAATACTTTGCTAAACCTTTTCGGCTATCATTCCTTTGCATTCAAGGGGCGAGGGTGAATGGCTATATAATTCATATCGGAGATTCTGTGCAATCTGATTTTGGCTTCAACAAACAGATACTCGTGCAGACAAAAAAGGAAATGCATACAGTTGTGAATTGTCGTATAATTCTTTACTGTTGATCCCAAACAATTTTGTACATGTACGTTAACGCTCCTTCCTACCTTGTGTTGAATATAAACGATGATAACCTTTTTAAAAAAATCTAGAGCACTATGTCTATAAACCGTTTTAGAATCAATAGAATGGGCATTCAATGTCTATTTGGCTAGTGTCCAAATATGTAACGTTTGCTGTAGGACCTGCAGCAAGGCGTAGCGCCTACGACCTACGCAGTCGCTTTTGAGACCTCTATTTAACAAAATTTATACCGTTTCCATATGATAACAATTCAATGGCACATTCTAAGAATATTATACGTATCTGAACCAGAGCCAGATACAGAAACGTACGCGTGAAATGAAACTGCGCCCTAACCCCGCGAGACAATAAAAGGGCAAATATTTCCAAGCATATATGATCATACGTTTTCGTTGCTTGATTTTCTGACTTGTTTGTTGCTATAAGAATCTACAGTTTAGCATGTTTGTATAATTTAAAAGCAAACAGAAACCAATTTAGCAAGTATTTTGAAGTATATATGATTCTCAAAGATGATTGTATAGAACGGTCACTCCTTGCAATCGAAGTGTGAGGTGCGGAATTGGAAACATGTAATTTGATACTTTTCCATCCCCCTCTTAGGTTATCAATTTTCTATGGGTCACGTGACCAGCCCTGACCAGGGTCTTTGCTTCACAAGAGCAAAGAGCCTGGGAACGAGGTTGTTGTAAATTTTGGATTAATTTCTATTAGCAGAAGTGTATAAATCTAATCTACAGTCTACTTATCTGTGTTTTAAGAAAATCGTATAGCTTATTTGTGTGATATACGTGTATGCTGTATTTCCTGTGAAATATTTGCCATTTATAGTTGGCGTGCATTGTATACTTACAAATCACATAAATACAATGTGATTTGTTTGAAGTCAAATTAATAGCATATAGATAGCATTGTAATAGCCCATCTCCCAATATTACCCAATGTATGGCATGTGCTTGCTATGGTATTAAACCCTCCTATCGGTCACCCTAAAACATGTGAAGAGCTGCTTATATGGTCAAGAAAGCCAGCCCAGGTAGCCCGGCTATACTGTAGCTTGCTTTCCTTGGATGAATGTCTGTTTACATGAGCCTCTTTAGATGGGCAGGCTCGCCAAATCGAATCAACCAGACTGAGTTTTATAATAGAAGCACATTTTCCAATACGGTAACCAACATCATCACTTTTGCAGACAGTTTCGAAATGTAACTGATAAAAACAATTACAGAGATATTTTAACTCTTTAAGTGGCAATGCGCCCTACTTTATTATTTTACTTTGTCTAACATCAGACAATTTTACTTGTCAGGAGGAGAATCTGCCCCTCAATGGATTAATCAGATTATCTGCCCTTAAATTAAAGATGCCCAGATTTTTGCGGCAAGGCAACTTGCCCAATCGGGCAAGCAAGATAAAACGTTTACTTGCCCATCATGAATTTCACTTGTCTCGGGCAATTAGTGGGCAAGTGTTAAGTTACTCCTCTGCTTGCTTTGTACACTAGAAAACAACCAAAAATAGCAAATTCATTGTCACTCAATAATTTGCTTCTGTTATATATCAACCTTGTATATTTTTTCTTAATAGTGGTTGTATTTAATATGGATTCATTATATCCTGTGATGCTGAATGAAAAGTTATCGAAGCATCCCAGGAGAAGGCAAGTCATCTAAACAAGTGGCAATATAATCATTAATGGCATTCTAAGTACTTCATGGTCTATTTGGAAAATGTTATTCTTTTGCTGGAGAGCATGTTTACGGATTACCAAACCATGCAAGGAAAGGACTAGGAGTTGCCGACTGGTGGTATAGTACAGCTTGTTTTGTACTAACATTTAGTTAATAGACATGCACGACATTAGACATATATATGCTTGATTGAGCACTGACACTACATGCAGTGTATGTTACTTGTAATTCAAGATTGAGCAGAATGTTTAACCCTTTAAGTGGCAATGTGCTCTACTTTATTATTTTATTATTTTGTGTCCCATGCAAGGTATGCTGCCACTCAATGGGTTAAAGTCTTTCTGTAGATGGACATTTTGAACAATAACTATATAATAGCTATTGTGCCGGGAACGAAACCCCTGTCATTCGGATCATCTCCTTAATTGCAAAAAGTCCATCAAGCCCCAAGAGTCAATGAAGGTTACCAGGAGTTAGGGGTGGAAAAAATAGGCGAGCACGCGAGCAGTGCTCGCAGGAAATGTTAAACTGCTGCAAGAAATTCGTTTGAATGAAGATTTGCTGTTGAAAATCTGAAGGAAACCTTAACACCCATGTCCCACTATGGACGCAACAACATATGGTCGACAGACATTATTCCTTCAATTTAAAACCATGGTCAGCTAGAACACTATATGTTTAATATGTACATACAGATTTAACACAAAAATACTCCGTTGGTCTGCAGGAAATTTTTGTCTCCAGGTTGTGCTCCCAGGAAGAAAATTATTTTTTCCAGCCCTGCCAGGAGTTTATGTATATAATACTGATACCAGTTAACTTAATATACTACCACTGACACCTGACCATGGTTTATATACAGTATGTACAGCAACTTGTGGTGACCTCTTGGCAAACAGACACTTTAAGTCAGAGGGCAGCAGTAGAATTTCAGGGCTGTAGGTTCAGTTTATGTTGGCAGACTTGCAATTGCTCTCTGAGTTATTGAAGTGTGTTTGTTCACTGCAACCAGGTATATCAATCATGTTTCGCTTGCTACTCTGGATTAAATAAATAATTACAAAGCCCGGTGGAATTGTAATCAAGACCCAGCGTTTAGACACTCCAGTCTAGTGTCTTCTTTAGGGGTGATCTAAAGTTGTAATTGTGGCTTCTTAAATACCCAAAGGAGACATCACCTGCCAATGAGATGCATGTATTCCTCTGGCAAATAGGCACCGTCATCTCTATTCACAGCATAATTACTCATATTTATATGCCATGCTTCTAGGCATAGTCTTTGACCATGATAGCGATTGTTTGTGATAATTACTTTAGATTTTTCCGACACAATATCGTGTTTGGTGTCACACACATGTTCTGATAAAGCTGATTTTCCCTTGTTTTAAAGTTGAAACAGCCTTTTGATGTTCTTTTAGCCATGTACCAAACTGGTGTTTAGACTGACCCAAATACTCTTTTTCGCAGTCACCGCATGGTATAGAATATACAGCATGAGTTTTCTGATTTGTTTTAACAGGATCTTTTGGCTTTGCGAAAATATGGCCTAAAGTCAAATACGGTTTTAAGGCAACCTTAATATTACATGCATCTCATTGGCAGGTGACGTCATCCCTTGGGTATTTAAGAAGTGACAGTTGCAACTTTAGATCACCCCTGATGAAGACACTAGACTGGAGTGTCAAAACGTTGGGTCTTGATTACAATTCAACTGGACTTTGTAATAATTTATTTAAACCAGATCAGCGAGCGAAACATGCTCTCAGTTAGTTCTATGAAATGTCCATCTACAAAAATCCATGATCAGTCTGCTATTATTGCCTTACTAGAGTAGGCTGTTTCTTGTCTCCTATATTTAATATTGTCTATTTGCAACATTCTGCAATCCATCATATTATACACATGCAGCCATGATATCATCAATCAAACTTTGAACTTAGAACTGCATTCAAAGAATGTTATCGAGCGTAAGAATATATCATTATATGCTAAAGCAAATTGTATTTCCTGTTACAATACTGTACTATACTTTTTATATAGAGGGATAATAAATTATTTTGACTTAAAAATGTCTTTATTGATTTCTTAGGTTAATCAATCAGGTGTGTTACAGCAGCACGCCTTAAGTTGTGTTACAGCAGCACACTTTAAGGTGTGTTACTGTAGCACGCCCCAAGGTGTGTTACTGTAGCACATCTTCAGGCGTGTTACAGCAGCACACCTTAAAGGTGTGTTACAGCAGCACACCTTAAAGGTGTGTTACAGCAACACACCTTTAAGGTGTGCTACAGCAACACACCAAGGCGTGCTAACAAACACACCAAGGTGTGTTAACAAACACACCTTTTCTCAAAACACACCTAAAGGTGTGCTGTTTTCTGGACAAGCGAATAACACACCTAAAGGTGTGCTACTGTAACACACCTTAAGGTGTGTTGTTTTCTGGACATAAAAGGTGTCTTGCTTTAGCACACCTTTTTTTAAGAGTGAAGCCATCATGCATTTAATTATTGCATAAGAGATTGGGCAAGAAAAGTACGATCTGTAAAGCCATTTCACAGTTCGTCCGGACCGCACGATCCGTACGTATCGACAAAATTTTCTGCCCTGACTTGAACACAACATCACCCATTGACGCTTTTTACGGATCGACAAAGTATGTTCACGATCCGTAAATCATTTTTACGAACCGTACGGTTCGTACGGTCCGTAAAGCCATTTTACAGTTCGTACGGACCGTACGATCCGCACGGATCGACAAACTTTTATGCCCTGACTTATTATTATTATTATTATTTAATCTTATTTACACACAAATACAACGGTAGCCCTTCAGCAAGTTTATCTACAGTTCCTTGTAGCTGATTTTCAAGGGGCCGTTGATTAATAATAAGGGAAGAAAATTATATGTATATATATATATATATATATATATATATATATATATATATATATATATATAATTATTATATATATCCTGCTCATCAGCACTACACTGACTGATGAGGCCCATAAGGCCGAAACGGTACCGTCTGTAGTATATATATATATATATATATATATATATATATATATATATATAAACACAAAAAACCCCCTTCATTCACTCAGTCCTCCCACCCACTCTTATAATAAAACATTAAAAACTTTAACAATCTACGTTTGTCTGTCTAGGAGCAGCGCTTTAAATATTGTTAATGTTATACCATTATCTTTAAGTTCTGCAGCTTTTCAAGCGAGTAAACATTACCAATGTCCCAAACAAGGCTACCGTAGTCAAAGTGAGGTTGTACTATTGCATTATAAACTGAAATTAATGTTGACTGGGGTACAGCATTTTTCATTCGTCGAATCATGCCTATGGCCTTTGATACCTTGGTAACGACATTATCTATATGTGCATTCCATTTTAGCTGATCATCAATAATGACACCTAACGTTTTTGTTTCTTTCACTCCTTTTATATTACAATTTCCTAATTTAACTTCTGGATCACCTTCAATTTTGCTAATCCGTTGCCTAGACCCGGCTATCATATATTCAGTTTTGTCCTTATTAAGAGTTAATTTATTTGCCAATAACCAGTGATCGATGTATATTTTCCAAATCATTGTTTAATTTTGTTTGGATGTCTATAATCGAGCACCCGCTTGCTGTCAGATTAGTATCGTCTGCAAACAAAAACTGGCTGTAGTCGTTCTTAAACAATTAGGCAAGTCGTTTATATAAATAAGAAACAATATTGGGCCTAAATTTGAACCTTGTGGTACACCACAACGAATTATTCGAGGTTGGGATGTCACTTGATTTACTTTACACATTTGTTTTCTATTCGTTAAATATGATTTAAACCAATTTAAAGTGGTTCCTTTACAGCCAAAGTAAGACAATTTTTTATTAAGATATCATGGTCGACACATGCAGTCGAAAGCTTTTTTTAGATCGAGAAAAATAATTCCGTTTAAAAGACCATTATCCGTATTGATGTACCATTTGTTCGTATTATTCAAAAGGGAAGTTGTAGTCGAACTCTTTTTCCTAAAGCCAGTTTGACTGTCCGACAGCAAGTGGTTAGACTCCAAATACCCATTGAGTTGCCTGGAGATAAGCTTTTCAAACACTTTAGCTACTATAGATATAATAGATATTGGTCTGTAGTTACAACAATCTAATTTGCTATCCCCTTTATGTATAGGAGATATGCATGCAATTTTAAGGTCATCAGGAAATACGCCTTTTTCAATGGATTTATTGAAAATATTTGTGAGGGATTCGGCAACTACTTCCACACTATCTTTCAAAAGTTTTGGTGATATACGATCATGTCCAGTAGCTTTGGAAGTTTTGATTCTTAAAATTTCACTTTTTACCTCCACTACAGAAATGTTTTGAATTTCAAATGTAGTTTCAGTAGGGTTGACATACGCCTCAAAACTATTATGCCCATTTTATTATGCCCATTTGAGAGATTATCAGCCAAAACGGTTCCAATATCATTGAAATATTAAATAATTTTATTCATACCTTCTGCTATTTCATCTGGATTTGTTGTAACTTTCTGATCAATTATCAGTTCATTAATTTTAGTTGTTTTCGATTTCTTGTTTTACTAAGTTGCTCAAATTATTTCTAGCCTTTTTGTATGCATTATGAAAGTGGGTTGAACCTGTTTTGATTGCTTTTTTCTTAAGAAAATCCCTATGATACATTTTTGTTTTGATTTCCGAAGTTCACCATGGCACATGTTCGCTGCGAACTCTCCTGATGACCGGTGGTGCATGCATATCCGCTACTAACAAAAATTTTTCCTTCCAGTCATCCCAAAGGATATTCGGATCGTATTCATGCGGCTGTGAATGAAGGATATTATACAAATCTAGATTGAAAGCTTCTATGTTATAATGCTTAAACTGTCGCGTATTGATAATTTTTGGTTGCTTACGTGGTATAGATATTTTCCTGTGTATATAGATTAAGCTATGATCGCTGATACCGATGTGGTGTACACCGGACTTAATTATTATCTCTGGACGATTACTAAAAACCAAATCGATTTGTGTTCGAGATCTTTCGGTGACTCCGTCTCGAGTCGGTTTATCAATCATTTGGTCAAGTTGATACATTCTAGCCAAATGTGATAACCTTCGAGTCTCGATTTTATCAGGTTGGAGCCAATCACAATTGAAATCGCCGATGCATATAATTTCATTATTTTCACTATCCATTTTTTGTATACATTGTTCGTATTCATTAAATGCTTCTATAGGCATATCTGGAGGCTTGTACCACGTGTTAAGAAAAAAGGTTTAGCTCTAGTTTTTTTTATTTCCACCGTGATTGTTTCCAATCCTTCTGGCATTATGTCTTCTCTAATTTTATGGCTTATTGAATTTCTAATATACATAGCTATTCCACCTCCTGTACGTTTCCTATCTTTACGCACTAGGTCATATCCATCTAAACTAACTTCATAAGTATTAATTTTGTCATCTAACCAGGTTTCATTAATGCATATAATGTCGTATTGGTGATTGGAAAGGTAGATTTTCAATTGATCTATATTTTTTATTGAGCTTCTGATATTAAGATGACCTATTTTGAAACCTTTATCCCCGTTTTTCGATTTTTTATCAACTTTAATAGTAATATTGCCTTCCTCCCGAGGCAACTCATTTGTTTGGTCGTTTATGACATCATCGGTTTTACCATACGAGTATGAGGTGTGCTCCGAGACAGATTCGTAGCATCAATTGTACTTAGAATTAAAGTAGGTAAGAAAGTTTTTTGCCATTATGCCTGTACCAAATTTGTTTAAGTGCAGGCCGTAAGCATTTAAGTGTTTGTCCTGAATGTTTTTATGTTTAATATAAGTTAAATTACGTCGTTGGCATGCTTTAACTAGCATTTCGTTTACCTTATCGACTTTCTGTGAGAATTCAGCTTTGTCGGTTCGGTGTATCAGCTCAGATATAACTACATTCGCGTTGTTGGATTTTCTTTCCTTATACTGATCTCCTCAATTTCTAGGATACCATTCACAATCTCTTATATCATTTGTACCGACATGTAGTATGATTTGATATGGCTTTCTCGCTACGCATGGTCTTATGTGATGGCTCATCGCTTCCGTGTTCGAACCTTTGTACGTTTCCACATATATGTTGTGATTGCCTGCAGCTATCGATCGCTTTAGTCGTTTGGAATCAAGGTGTTTCACCATGGAGTCGCCAATTATAACGGTAGTTATTTTTTCGTTGGTATCTCCTTTCTTTACGTTTTGCTTTCTCTGGTTCCGGGTTTTATCTTGCCTGTTTCTGGTTGCATTATCTTCGTTTTGGCCGGCGTGATGTTCGTTTTGGCAGGCGTGATGTTCATTCTCGTCATTTATAGCGTTTTCTTCGAAACGAAGAAAATTGAAAATTGTGGACGAGAAACATGATATCAATTTTCATTGGCCTAAACAATAGTATTCTATAGCGATTTATGGTCTTTGTCTTTGAAAGACAAGCGAAATTGTATTGTTGATAACTAATACTTAATAATTAATGGTTTATTACATTCACTAAGTAGCTTGATAAGCTAAAATACAGAGATGTTTACAGTGATAGAACTTTTAAAATGATAAAATGTAATGTGAAAAGTATTAATACTATGGTCTCTACTAAACTAAAGCTACTTTAATGTAAAAGGTCTTAAAACTATTGTCATATTTACAGATAGAATTAGATTATGTTAGTTATTACTCACTATAATATATAAACCTTTTACTAATATATAAACCTTTAGGGTTGCCAATTAAGTCTTAATGACCCTTCGAGGTGAACGGTCATGGTTAACGAAGCGCTTTAAAATTGATTAAATTTCCACATTAAAGTCAAATAAGTATAATGCCTGATACAGTAAAAGGTTTAAAGGAAGCAAACAAGGCACTGCGCTCTGAAATTGAGGAATTAAAGTCTCAACTAAACGAAGTCAGCCAAAATATTACCTCACAGACCAACAAGAAACCGGCCATTGAAGATCAGCCGCAGGTCATGTCAAACGACCACAATAAAGCAGTAGAGTTTATCGGCAAACAATACGACGATCTGGATGCATTTCGAAAACAAGCTACTCAAGATATTAAGAAAATCGCTTCAAGACTTGATAAATTTAGTAGAAGCTGCGACGAAATATATGAAGCCATCGAAGCTATCGAGACGTACAGCTATCAGTATAATATTAAGATAGTTGGACTGCCGCCAGTTAACGACAAAGAATCGTCTGATGTGACTGCAGCGCTTTGTGTAAAGCTTTTTTCAGCATTGCGTGTAAATGATGTCTCTCTACAAGATATAGACACTGCCCATCATGTCCCGAAGCGGAATCGAAATTCACCTGCTAGTCCAGACCCAATAATCTGCAAATTCGTCCGAAGGCTTGTTAAGACAAAGTCATGGCGGCAAGACGTAAAATATACGATCTAAAGCCCGAACAACTCGGATTCCAAGCACAGGAACAGCATGGCCGAATGAACATCTACGAACATTTAACACCTCGCCTTCAGACACTTCTCTTTGAGGCTAAAAAAGTGCAAAATCGTTACGGATTCAAGTACTGTTGGGCTAAGAACAACTACATTTGTCTTCGAAAATCTGATGACTCGAGTGTAGTAAGAATGAAGACACTTGAGGACCTTGCTAAGCTGACAACGGTTAAAAATGCAAAATGATCTGTACATTAAGATAAGTAGAATTATATACACTAAAAATATATTGTGTGATAACTATGGGGAGCAAACATGACGAAAAAGTAAACAAAGCTATGTTTCGCGAACTGCCCTATAACGGTGTTAATATTGTTGCTAGTCACGGACAATTTAATAACAGTCTTTCTCCAAATCATATCGCTAAAAACTATTTAGATAAGCTTACTAGTATATATGATCTGCACCTATTTTATCTAAATACAAATCCTAATTCGGATATAAACCCCGATCACAATATTATCCATATTCATAGTAGGTATTTTTCACCCAATAGCTTTCAAAAAATTGACAAAGCTCCAAATAGTTTATATAATAACCGATTCACATTCTTTCATAATAATGTATGTAGCTTGAGGAAAAACCTTGATCATCTGCAAACCCATATACTGGATGAACTTGGTTTTTCTTTTGGTATTATAGGTATAACTGAAACTCGCATAACAGATGCTACTATAGATAACTTCAATTACAATATTCCTGAGTACTCGTTTGAATTTGTTCCAACGCCTCTTGCTGCAGGAGGAGTCGGAATGTATATCAACAATGAGCTTAGATATTTTATTATTGAAAAAACCGCGAACAAGGACTTTCAAGCTCTATGGATTGAAATTCTTATGCCAAATAGGAAGAATATTATTTGTGGTGTACTATATAGGCAACATAGTTCACCAGAATGTTTCCTAAATTATTTTGAAGAAAAACTCGAATATTTCACTCGATCTCTGGGCAAAACTGTTGTTGTCATGGGCGATTTTAACATAGATTTGCTTAAAATTGATAGCTGCAATTATGCGCATAATTTTTTATTGACTTTACAAAGTTGTTCAATGACCCCTAGCATTGATAAACCAACCCGTGTCCACAGGGACTCTGCCACGCTAATTGATAACATTTTCATTAATATTCCGGATAAAATATTAACGAGCGGTAATGTCGTATCGGACGTAAGTGATCATTTTTCTCAATTCTGTATTATAGATTTAATTTCAAGAACAACGTAACAAAATTTAAAATTAGAGACTACTCTCGTTATTCGGAGACTTTATTCCTTCAAGATCTGTCACAAATAGATTGGAATTCCATAATAGCTAACCATGGACATGATCCTGATAAACTGTTTTCGACCTTTTATAACCAGGTTAACAAATTTGTAAACAAACATGCACCTCTCAAAATGATTTCCAAACGAATGGCTAAGTCTTTCACGAAACCTTGGATATCCAAAGGCTTAAGAGTATCAATTAAAATTAAAAATGCATTATTTTACTCAATCCCTTTAAAATATAAAATTTATAGGAACTTAATTGTAACCTTAACACGAGCAAGCAAGAGACTGTATTACCATACATACTTTAGTTCAAATCTAAACAATATGAAAAAGACCTGGGATGGAATAAGGGATTTAATTGGAGGTGGCAAAAAACGTAAAAAGGAAATTAATGCGATGGCGCAATGTGCCAACAGCCAATTAGTTCACGATCCCCAAAAAATATCTAAGATTTTGAATAATCATTTTGCTTCTTGTCGTCATCGTTTAGCAGCTAAGATGCCTCATTCAGAAAAACATTTCTCTGAATATCTCCCAAAACAGAATACCGATTACGAAAATATAGCCTCTCAGCATGGCTCATTTGCATTCTTTCCAGTAACTCCATCCGAGATAGAACTTGAAATTACCTTATTACCAATTAATAAGTCGTATGGCTTATATTCCTGCCCTACACGTATCTTAAAATGCGCAAAAAATATTCTAAGCAAACCTCTAGCTGACATTATTAATACTTCTATTGAGCGAGGAATCTACCTCAAAAAATTAAAAATTGCAAAAATTATTCCAATTTACAAAGATGGTGTAGATACCGATCCAAACAATTACCGCCCTATAACACTTTTATCTATTTTTAGTAAAATTTTCGAAATCCTAATGAACTCGCGATTGAAAAACTTTCTTAAGTTAAGAAATTTTTTTAGTGATTCTCAATATGGTTTTCGCGAACAACATTCTACACAACATGCTCTTCTTGATATTATCAATAAAATCCAAAGTAACATGGATAATAAACTATCCTCTTGTGGAATATTTATCGACTTAAAAAAAGCGTTTGATACTGTCGACCACGACATTCTGTTATGCAAATTAAAGTACTATGGTATAAGATGTGTTCTCAATGATTGGTTTTCCTCTTACCTGTAAAACCGCTCGCAAACCACTCTTGTCGGAAATTGTATATCTGATAAAGAGGAGACCCTATGTGGAGTACCTCAGGGTTCTGTTCTTGGACCTCTTCTTTTTCTGATTTACATAAATGATATCTGTAATTCATCTAAGGTATTTAATTTCTTTCTCTTTGCGGACGATACCAACCTATTATATGCCAACAAAAGTTTAAAAACTTTAGAATCAGTGGTAAATTTCGAGTTGAGGGAAGTTTGTAAGTGGCTAAATGCTAATAAACTAACATTAAATATAAAAAAAATCAAATTTTGTAATCTTTCGACCATCGCAAAAACCAATGACCTATCAGCCTACTATTAAACTTTTCACAATAATTCGAAAAAATACATACCTCTCGAAAGTAAGGATTATATAAAATATTTTGGCATTCTCATTGATTGTAATTTGTCTTGGAAACAACACATTAATTACATTGCACTAAAGATTAGCAAAACTGTTGGAATCATTGCAAAACTCCGACATTATGTCCCATTCCATACCTTAATGAACATATATAAGTTATTAATTCAGCCATATCTATCATATGGAGTTGTTGCATGGGGATATGCAGCCAAAAAATATACGGACAAACTTCTCAAACTCCAGAAACGTGTGCTGAGACTTATCTATTTTAAAGACAATCGTGAACACTCTATCCCTCTATTTATCTCTTCAAACACCCTCCCTATCAACATGCTTTACATTAGAGAATCCGCTAACTTGTTACATGATACTTCTAATGAAGTTGCACCAATTGCTCTTCAAGAATTATTTACCAAAACATACCAGATTCATAGATATAATACGAGAGCAGCTGCGAACAAGAATTTTTACATCAATTCTTCACGATTAGAAATCCAAAAACGCTCATTTTCTCGATTTGGTTCTTTTATCTGGAATAGTATTTCTCCAAGTTTCCGTGCGCAAAGGAAACATACCTTCAAAACCAAATTAAACAAAACACTTA